AACCCAGGCGATGGGTTCCTTCAAACCTAGCTGGGTTCAACGAACCCAACGCATGGGTTCGTCGAACCCAGGCGATTTAGGTCCGTTGAACCCAGGCCAAACCCAGATCGCCTGGGTTCGTCGAACCAGCACCAAGTTCGTCGAACCCAGCCCTGGGTTCGTCGAACCAGCACCAAGTTCGTCGAACCCAGCCCTGGGTTCGACGAACCCAGGTCCAGGCGACAAACCCAAGCGAACCCAGCGCCTGGGTGGGTTCGAAGGAACCCAGGCCTGCTGGGTTCCGAGGGGAAGGAGAAAGAGAAAGGGGAAGGAGAAAGAGAAAGGGAAAGGGAAAGGAGAAAGAAAAAGAAAAAAAGAAAAAAAGAAAAAAGAAAAAAGAAATTTAAGTTTTATTTTTCATAATATTTTTTTATATTATTTTTTTTCCACATCATCACTTTTTATATTATTATATGACATGTCATCTGGTAACCGTTAAGTAACAGGCCACGTCACACAATTTTTAACAGAAGGACCAAATCGGGGTAAAAATGGTAAACAGTAGAGACCAAATCAAAAATTTTTTTAGTTCAAGGACCAAATCGAGGGTCCGTACAACAGTTCAGGGACCAAAAAGGGGTTTTAACCTTGTTAATTTAGTTATACTGAAGTAATCAGGAAGAGCAAAATCTTGGGCAATGTATAACTGGGGCTTTGAAGCTCTGCCTGAATAAATTTATGTAGGATCAAGTTTGAGCCAAGTTTAGAGTGTCATTTTTTTTTTTTTTAATGTTATTGAAATTTTTTTGAATAATATAGTATAACTTTGGTCAAATTAATCCCCTTGTAGGCTTGTAGCTATGAATTGCTTTATAAATAAGTACCACCATCAAGAATGGCGCATAAATCATTGAAATTATTTATAGTGAAATGCCATTAGAGGAATTTCAATTTTGCATTGTCAAAATGATTTAAATCACTTTTTAATTATTTGAGTCAATTTTAGTAAATTTATATTAGAAAGTTGGTTAGTTGCTTAATAATTGCACAAATTTACCATAAAGCTTGGCTGCAACATGGTAAGGTCTTGCTGCCTTGTTGGTTTAAGCTTGGGAGTAATAATTTATTCTTTCTATATATCTAATAAAGCTTTGAGCCGGCTGATTAGCATCTCCAAACTTGAACTTGTAAACAAGCTCGAGTAAAGACATTAAAGTTAAAACCAAATTGGGGTTAAGCTTAAACAAACTCTAACTCCAAATTATTATTGCTTCATTAACGGTCAGTTTAGTTTCATCCCATATTTACCGATATTTAATAGATTATGACTTTGTTTGTCAATTAAAACCAAATTGAAGTTAAGCTTAAAAAAACTCAACTCCAAATTATTATTGCTTCATTAGTTGCCAGTTTAGTTTCATCTCATATTTACCA